CGTTAGTTATAAGAAAAATATCCCTTCACCTGTTATTTGATTATGACATATATTTAGTCTTCTGTAAAAATGGAGATTAATAATTTAGAACAGATAAAAAAAAGCTACGCAGGTGGATTGAAATGTTCGCGGCCTAACACATTAATACTTAACTATTTTAATGTAACATAATCATTCGATTAGTTTACTCATTATACTGAATTTATGCAGCATTTTTAAAGAATGGAGAATATTGAACAACGTGCGGTCATCAAATACATGTTTAAAAAAAAAAGGATTTACAAAGATATGTCAACAACATTGGGGTAGTCTGCTTCGTCGTATACGACTGTGAAAAAGTAGGTTGCTGAATTTAAACGCGGACGAGAGAATATTGAAGATGACTCTCGCTTTAGCCGGCCTATGACGTCTACGACTGAAGAAAACATCGGGATAATCTGTGATCTGATGTTGACAGATCGGAGATTGACCATTATGGAGATTGCAGACACTATTGTCATCTCGTATGAACGAACACAAAACATCATAGTCGATGAACTTGGATTTTCTAAGGTTTCTGCGCGGTGGATACCCAGATTGCTTTCAGTCGAACAAAAACGAATACGCCTCACGATTTGTCGCGACTGTTTGGAAATGTTTGAGGCTGATCAACAAGATTTTTATCCAGATTTGTAACAATAGATGAAACTTGGGTACACCACTACACTCCAGAGTCAAAACAGCAATCCAACCAGTGGAAACAACGTGATAAACTGACTCCATAAAAGCCAAACCAATATTGTCAGCTGGCAAGGTGATGGTGTCAGTTTTTTGGGATGCTAAGGGTGTCATCATGGTGGACTACCTTGCAAAAGGTGAAACTATAAACTCGGCTTATTACTGCACCCTCTTACGTCGCTTGGGCGAAACAATCAAAGAGAAAAGGCCAGGATTACTCAGCAAGAAAGTATTGTTCCATCAGGATAATGCACTCGTTCACACGTATGTTGAATTTTTGGCTCAAATTCGTGATTTTGGCTTTGAATTACTGCCCTATCCCGCCTATTCCCTTGATTTGGCACCTTCAGACTTTCATTTATTCCCAAACCTAAAACACTTTGGAGGTCAAAAATGTTCATCAAATGAGTAGGTCAAAGTTGCGGTGGGTGACTTTTTTGAAGGTCTTGAAGAAACTATTTTTATGACCGGTATACAGGCGTTGGAAACCAGATGGAAGAAGTGCATAGAGTTAAGTGGAGATTACGTGGAGATTACGTGGAATAATAAAATTACTTTTGCTTATATTTTATTCTTGCTAAGGCTGCGAACTTTTCAATCCACCCTCGTACTTTTGTCTTGGCTGTATATATATTATATATGTCGGTGGGTAGTCAGAACGGGCTATAACGAAGCCCAAATAGATCGTCTATATCGGAGGACTATCTTTAAAATAACACTGCAGGCGTGTATACTAACGTGGATTTGTTCCATTTTATCACTTTTCATACGAAAATGTAACGAGATGAGCGTGATGTCGTCGGATGTCTTTACTCCTCGGCGATCGGAAACAGAATGTGTGTGAAAAATGGCGGCAATTTGCTTTTTGTTAACGAACTGTCAAAGTCAGTGTCACCATTCTAATAAAATTAAAAGTATCGATTATCACGCTCTCTCTACAATTGAGTAATTAAGTAATCGAGTAACTAGCAATTAAAATAAAAGAAACTAAATCAAACGATCTTCGTCAAGATGATGCGACATATATACGATATATAAGCCTTTACCTTTCCATTTCAAAGGAAATGAAAAAATGAGAAAAAATAAATAAAAATAAAAGCTTCAAGAAAAAAAAATACCGTATGCGTAACATAAGATTGTGGTCTGACAGTTGAAAATTTTGAAATAGTTATTCCTAAGATAAACACTGTTTCTGTTTAACGTTTTTCTCCGCCATAATTCTGTCTCATGGGTAAAAGAGTAAGTAGAATTATTGTTAGTGACCTATATAAGTTGGTCGCTGCGTGCGTGCCTTCCTCAACTTATTACGAGCCAAATACACCTGTATAAAAGCAGAACACAGCGAATGTCACGCAAACAGGGCTGATCATTAAAATAATTTCTTTGTTTTCATTAATAACGTTTACGTTATTACTTAAAATATTACAAATTAGCAGCAGTTCTATATTGCTAAATATAAAGCTTTTTACCTTTTTGGAATCTGTAACACTGCGCTTACGCTGTCATTTTAACAGAATATCTAGTATAGATAGGTATATCTTGTCCAAATTGATATGTTGACACCACAATGATACTCGAAATATGGATTTCTATAGTAACTACATTTGTTTCTATTTTCCATTAAAAATCAGTTATTAAAATTAAAATGAAATTTCCGCTTGGGTCACTGTGACCTCACATCTCAGTAAGCGATATTAAGTAAAGCGTTGATTAAATTAGCCCGCTCCTTTCCATTGTTTTTGTTTTTGAGTTGTAAGGAAATGTTTAATGCACTGTCCCGGCTGCTTGACAGGCGACAGGGTATGTGTGGGACTCTCTATCCACAACTGCTGCCCGAAGGCTAGTCAAAACGTGGATGGGATACCTAGTAAACCTCCTCCGATGCACACTTACTTTTGGGTGAAGGGCGTGGGATCCAGGACTGTTTCACACCGGGCCCGCATTTTCTCCTCCAGCGCGAATAAATATAATTTATTTAAGGTTGGTGCATATCTATCGAAAGATGTGTCAGGTCTCTTCCGTCACGGGTTATTAAAACTCATAAAATTATATATGACATTCGACCTTGCGTACTCGATAGAAATTTCGTCGCGTAATAACATATACTTCCGAGAGACACTTGACGGATCATCCATCAGATTTGCACCGATTCTTAGGTAGTATGGGTGTGATTATATTAGCCATTCCACCTGTTGAGTAAATTGATGACAATTGGTACTTACCCGCCGCTAAATATAACTGCTACTTTAGAATGATAAAGCTGTTTTGACATGAAACCTAGTTAAGTTATAATGATATTATTTTCAAACATCGATTTATATGTTTATTTTCCATTGTAGTTTAATTTGTTCAGTATCAGCCCTACGCGTAAATTACGAATTAAGCTCGACATATAATCCAGTCCCATATAACACAATTACTATTAATTGGATGTGAAAATTTAAAAAGTTTTATGATTATCGGTTGTAAAATGTCATAAAAGCAATCGAACAGGGTTGAACATAGGATATTTTAAAACAAATAAGCTCTCGTTTGATATTATCCTGAACTAGTGACGGGTTCGATGTTTAGGCTAATGAATAAAAGGCTGACTGAGCTCGAAGATTTTATTTATTAGAAGGTAATGAGAAAAACTGCAACAAACAAAAAAAGGAATATAAAGTTCGTATGATTACCTAAATATATAATTACAATAGTTAAACAGAACAGTTACATACCCTGTTTCTGGGTTTTCCGTAATAGGTAGAACTTAGTTGATATTTCATGAAGATATACGTTTACATTTTTCTTATTTCAAATATAATAATTTTATGACTTTATTATTACATAATTAAATTTATATGATTAAATTATCATGTTCTCACCAGATTATTTTTTACGAACTAAAAAATAATATAAATAAGAGCATATAGTATTACTCGAAATTTTAAATTACGAAAGTTGAATACTAAAAAGAAATGATGCTGAAGATCAAAGACAAAAAGATTGCATGCTGAAACCTAGGACAAAATAAACGGTCGGTGATACGACGCATGGTTACAACATATATTAGTTATGTCAATATTAGTTATTATGAACCAAATAATGGAATATCTAATAATGAGACGAGTATTGGGATCTATAATTAAAAAACAACATTAGATAATAAAGCAACTGTTAAATCAATAAATATTCATATATGAAGTCAGATATTACCTTGCCGAAGACTTCCCATTGGTAGCGTGTTCCGGAGCTACTCTTCTTCTGAATCTCCTCCTGCATAATCTTGCACATACACTACGCGCACATCCAAGTCTCTCCCATAGTGGACATTGACTGTTTTCCGCGGTATCACCACTTGTATCCAGGGACATTTCTTTTGATTGAAAATTGTCAACTGCAAGACATTGTATTTTTTACGCTTTTTTTCTAATTTTCTATTTATGTAATAAAATATTCGTAAAACTTAAAAACCTTCCAGGAGTAATATAACAATTACAACTACATTTGATCTAAAAGGTTTTACCAAACACTCACCAAAATAAAAGGAAAAAGCTTTTTGTTGAATTTTAAATCAAAAATTTCGAATGAATGAAAAACCAAAAAATATTGAATAGAAAATAGTTTTCGATTTGTTAAATAGTTTTTAATATAATAATGAAAATAAAACACATTATTTTTAAACTATACATATGTTATTAATTGTGATCGTTAGAAGCTTTCCATGACCTACGTTGTTGCATTCAGAACTTGAATTTATTATGGTTATTGATTCAGTCTAAGTATAAAACGAAAATCGGCATTGGTTAATTATTTATTCTTTATTTTTTCAACTTCCTGCTAACTTTTTTAGAATGAAGTTTATTATTAAAAAGATTCAATTCAGTTTATAACTTTATTTAATTCACTTTTATTTGGATTAAAATCGTAAATAAAAATGTTAACACACAACACGATATAAAACCTATTTCAATTGATGATCTATCTCGTTTTGTTTTTATACAACTTTTTTTTTTTAATTCACAAAGAAGATTTGTTACAAACTATAGACCGAATAAGACATTCCCGGAACGCGACAAAACGGCTCCCTCGTGTTAAAGTCGAACAAACACTGATTTGTATGGTTTCGAAGTTGTATTGACTATACAACTAAAGGTTGGCGGCAAATGAAAATTACAATCTCTAACCATTAGTTCTGAAATTATTGCAAAAGAGTTACTATTATTGATTTAATTATAAATGTTCGTACAGAATTAAATAATAAGCTGTGGTATCGTAATAGATGGTAATAGATGTTATTAGAGAATATATCAGAAAGTTAGCACCATAGGATTACTACGAATAAAAAATATATGTCTAGTTTTTTTTTTAATTTATGTATTAAGTAATTTCTTTACTTTTTTATGTTTTCTATTTAGTTTCCTATTATATACTCTGTTACTTAGTAAGTTTTATTAGGTATATGATCAAATATTTTTGAGTTACAGCAATTAACGAAGAAAAAAAGAACGAAAATATGTTTTACAATATATTAAAATTAGAACAGTGATTATTACTCTTTCCTGTATTCCAATTTGCTTAGATTCCAAAGTGGCAATTGTAATTTCTACATAACACTTCTCTATACAAATATTTGACATCTGTAATGTTAGCTATCAGCTTTTCCAATTCTTGTTTATCAACTTCCCTTTTTCTGCTGAGGAGTTTCATAAAATTCCTTCTCAATTTACAGTCGTAATATAATATATAATTATCATTAATCTCTTTATAGACCTGTGCTGTGTAACCGTCGGCTTGACGCATAGGTGAATTCGGCGATAAAACGTAGAATTTAGCTTCTTTATTTCCAAATAATGCACCGTTTATTACATTTTTAGAACCATTCACTATAATCGGATCATCTTCGATCGAATACGGTACACTTTCATTCAATGACTCTCTGTATTTCAACAAGTCTTCTGTTGAAGCTTTAGTAAATTCTAATGTGGGACAATAACAGTAATCTATAGTTATAGCTGGATTGAAATTTATCATAACATACCATTTTCCAATGAGATTTGCATTATTAAAAAGCTTTTGGTTAGATTGGACGCATTTTATGTCAACTACACTCATTGCCAAAGAACATTGTGCGATTATTGCTAATAACGCTACTTTTACCGACATTTTCCTATGTAATGTGACGTGTTTCTGTATTCATTTTATATTGTGCTCAATGATAATGTTGTTGAACTTTAACCTTTAATCAGTTATTTGAATTTTATAATTAAATCGAATTGTTTATATAAATGTTGTGTTAATGTATGTGTGCTGTTCGTTTTATTAATCTCAAATTAACACTGAACAACTGAAGCAATGAAGTTTATTTAAATACAAGCTGTAACCCGTAGCTTCGCCCACGTGGTCCGAGGAACGCCACTATAGCAGGCCAGTGTGCACACAGCACATAGTGGAGTCTTAAGCTAATCTTAATTAAAAATCTGCCAGTAAGCATCCGCCTTTATATCATCATCATTAGCTTAGTAGCGTCATCACTGTTGGGGCATAGGTTTGCCTCATAGATGGAACTAAATAGCGAAAATCTACCGGTGTTTTTGTGGATAACGTACATGTCTTCGTAGGTTAGTCCATTTGTTTTTCTTTCTTTTTTAGTGTGCAGTAGAATCGACAGTTGCAAAAATATAAAAAATGTTTTCTTTGAAACAATAGTCGTTTAATAATTACACCATTAATTTGCTTGGATATAAGTATTTGACTACTCTGCTTATTCTGGACTTTCAAATGAAGGGTTTCATTTTTAAACCCTTTAGGTTTAAAAAAACCTGATGCTTTGCTTGTGCAAGATTCTGCGCCTGATACTCATAGCAAAATGAAGGTCAGTTTCTTGATTTTTCAGTTCTATTAGTTCTATTCAATTAAATTTTTCCAACGGACATTCTGCCATCTCTTCATTATGTAGGTATCGAACCACTCAGTATTTTTTAAATCATATTTGTTGTTTCCAAAGAAGTTGTTCGAAATTTTTGAGTTAAATACATTTGCTCAACAATTACTTGTAAATTTGTAAAGCCAGCTAAAGTGTGTATAGATACTACTGTCGTAACGTTTGATATTTGTTTTGTTGACAACAACCGTTTATTTGGAGAAGAGGGGTTGAGGGGGACATTAGACTTTAACGAAAATTGACACTTTAAAGCTTAGTAAGTCACGAACGATTAACTAAATCGCAAAACATCTTCCCACGCCACTTATATTTGTGAAGGACTTATCCAAGGATACCCCACGCTAATGGAAGATAACAAAATAAATTTTAAGATTTGATTTTACCAGTTTGTCGTGATTAAAGTGTATCATCATCATCATATCAACCGTGAGACGCCCACTGCTGGGCTAATACTCATGCTAAAAAACCTTTCTAATTCTAAACCGCAGACCGACGGACAGACAAACAGACATGACGAAATTTACATAACGAAAGGATTTCTTGGTGACTATGAAATCACATAAATGAAAATAAAAGCGACTGTGTTTAATAAAGTCGGTAAAACAATAAAGACAACAGACATGAAAAAAATCAAAACCCCGTTTTAAAAATACAGTAGCGTTATTTAGCGAAAACAACTTATTGTAACATTTAATTTTTTCACCAAATAAACAATCAAATAATACCCCATTAAATAATGTTATTGGTAAAACTGCAAAAAATGAAAATGAAAGCTACTTTGTGTGATATAAATTGCAAAAAAATAAAGACAACAAACTTAACAAAAATCAAAATCCTGTTTTAAAAGAACAGTAGCATCATCTAGTGATCAGAAGCGTCAGCTGAATGTAACATTTTCGTGTACTTAGCCAACATAACATATGCGTTTAGCGACAACGATTGTACCGACATGAATTTTTATTTTTTAACCGACTTCAAAAAAGAGGAGATTTCTACTGAACGTGTAAGGGAAATATTCTCGAGGGGTCCCGAAATAATAATATCGAATAAGGATCAGTAGTTTTATTTTGTACAAAAAAAAGCTTTTAGAACAACATCGTTTCATCCATGCTTCATTATGCCTCATGCTTTTGCAGTGCCGAATTATTAATTCTTTTCATTTTTATTAATCTGTGAGTCAAGTTTTGTTTATCAGTTTATGTTTATGCTTAAAAATATGAGTTTAGTCAGAATCGTGGCTTATTTCATTTCTTGCATTTTTTAACAATGTCTTGAAAAAAAAAATTATTAACTCTGAACTATGGCGAGGCTCCAACTTCAAAATGTGAGCAAATGCTACTTTCGCTACGTGACTGACTAATCTGGCCCCATGCTCGTGCACGGCTCCTTACATTTGTCAAAATTTTCTTTATTATGCACAATATATTGTGTCGGCCTCTTTACAGGATCCGTGTTCACATAAGATTAAGGTGTTGATTCTCTTTTAAATTAAGAGAATAGTTACCTTAAAAAAATACTATTGGACATATTCACAATACGAAAAATATATATTTTATGGCAACGTTACATTTATTAAATAAAATAATTTTATAAATACATTTGACTTATTTAACCACGAGTTCCAAATTTGGGAGTCTTGACTGAGAACAAGCGAAACAAACTCCGACAAGAAAAGTGAATTGCTCCCTTTAATTTATATATTATAGAATGAACTAACTGTATCTTTTGGTTTTGTAATGTGTTATCTGGATTAAGATTTTATTTGACGAATTACTGGATCCCAAAGCCTGTGGTATATGCCAAACTTTATCTCTATTAAAATTTGGATGTTTTTTAATTTCAGTAACCTTGCGTATCATTCTAGGGTTGAATTTTTGTTCATTTATAAATTAATGAAATATCTGTTTTGCTACCTCATCTTTCATTTCGTCCAAAATCCAGGTATTTTTTTGTCTATTTTGTTAATAAATCAAATAGTAAATACGAGTACTTAATGAATTTATTTAAATTACATATCTTACAAATCTATACTAATATTATAGGTATAGAGACAAAGTTTCATACGACCGGTTTCTGAATTGACAATTTGTAATTAAGCATATCTCAAATTATACTTAAGTATAGTTAAAACGTCATAAAATATGTTTCGTTTTTGTTTTTAGTCTTTTTAAAGATCGTTGATAGCAGTTTGATAAAACAATACTTATTGCCTTGTTTCCCACTTAATTTGAAATCTGAAAAACTCGAGGATAGAGTTCTAAATCTATTGCATATAGTTTGAAAAATTATAGTAACCCGATGTGCGCCGTAGATTTTGAGTAAAACGCAAACAAAGGATTTCATATGGATTATGAAAATAAATTTATTATAATTAGTTTAAGGGCGACTGCACTTATTCCTCTTGGTCTTAGGGTCCATTTTGCACACTTCTCCAGATTGACATTTGGCGTTGTCGCAGTAAACGCTGCCACCACTGCCGCCTGAAACGAAACACAATATTTTAGAATTATTCGAAAATTACTGTTTAATAATCATTTGTTTTGTTAGCCGAAAATGCTCGCGGAATCGTAGATCTCACGGTATGACGAATAGTTTTTTAGGGTTCCGTACCCAAAGGTTAAAACGCGCCCTTTTATAAAGACACCGCTGTCCGTCCGTCTGTCACCAGGCTGTATCTCATGAACGTATATTTATGTTGCCGCTTTAACAAGAAATACTAAAACACAGAATAAAATAAATATTTAAAGGGCCTTCATACAACAACATATTTTTTGCGTTATTATGGATAATAATACGACCATTTCAAATCAATGTATCGCTGTTATTTATTGATTAGGTACGCAAAAAATTAAAAAATACTTGTTTAATATTAATTAATAATCTACCCAACGGACGGATGGAGTCATTCTAACTTTTGACAGTTGCTTTTCATTAAAATTCCCGTCTATTGGTTAAAAATAGTTGCCTATTTTATATTATATTGAAACTACAAGTGCACACGTGTAGTTTCTGAGTATTCGTGATTAATGAGTGAACTTCGATATACACAGATAATCTCACTTGAATATTTATTGGAGCTGCCTGTCCCACCAGCTCCTCCGTAAGGCGCCGGCTCCACGCATGACTTGGCATTGCAGGAGTTAGCGCAGCAGACCTTGCCGTGGGTGCACTCATAGTCTTGTATACATTTAGGACTGCAGCCGTACACCTTTGAAGCTAGCGGGCAGGTGCCAGCTAAAAATAAAGATAAATAAGATACAAATAAGAAAGTTATAGCAGCTATTTGTTTAAGTAAGTACTCTTTGTTGTATAACAAGAAAATGACATGGATATATACTCGTATAAATATCGGATGGAAGATATAACACAAAATTTGCTGCAGCAGATTTTGCATACAACTAGACAGTATACAAATAACAATTTGAAACTGTCAAAACATAGCAAAAGTACAGTTATAACAGCGTTGTATCATTTATATGGATGGATGAGATGAAATATGGGTTAAGGAACCTTTTATAAGTATTTTTCTTTAAGATAACTTGCATTCTGTTGATAAGGTTTACCTGCTTCCGTGTATGATAGAGCTATCAATACAGCCAACACCGACAGGATAACAGTCATTGAACCTGTAAACAGGAAAAAATAGAGGTGTTATATCACCAATGTTTAAAACCGATTAAAAATGTATTACAATTTGATACATTATATGAGTATCAATTTGTCACAAATTTTGTCTCTTTTGTAGACCAAATAAATTTAGAGTAGATAAGAGAGTTTTGTGTAGGCTATTAATATTAATAACCGGAATATTATTAGAATCTTCTTGAATATATTAACCGGACTTAAAATAATTATAATGTTTCACCCCTTCTACGTCGCTTTTTAATAATTATCATTAAATCATTTTTGATAATTATCTTTAAATCATTTATTACATTACAACATTGCAAATTTTAAACGAAGATTTTTATAGTCACTTTTAGTTTTTTATTCACAGTTACCTCAAGTTTAAAAATTACATTTGCATGTTTTCAAACTGCTTAAACATGTTCACCATGACCTATGCCGATCGTGAATTTATAGGATTTATTAATTATTGTTATAGCTTTTATATGATCAAGGTTGCCAGGCAACTTTGCATTCAGTCTATAAGGAAAACAATTCAAAAAAACAAAGCAGATGAATAAAAAAACAATTCGAATTGGGATAAGTCATATGTTTGGGATATATAATGTAATAATTACCCGTTTCGTATTAAGATTTGCTATAGTTCGAATTGAAAAAATAGAAATGGCTAATTGAAATTTGGAAACTAATAGAAATGCCGAAAATTTGGTTTCGGTTTCCGCCTAAAATCAGAGAAGGAACGAATACTCGTATTCTTATTCGCCGAATATAATCACATAAATTAAAAGTGATGATGAATTGAAAAACAAATCACTCTTTGGTTTTAAGAAGACTTTTCACGCATTATATTTTGTCATTCTGTTTCTACGAAAATTGCTCAATAGTCAAGTGTTTAAGTGCGCGCCCCACCACAAGGATTCTCAAGCAAGGTGACAAGAGACAAAAAGTCACCGGTGCGCATAAGTGTGCACCTAGTCTTACGTTTGCTCATAGATGTTTCTGTGCCAAGAGTTAATAAACAGTTGTCCATTTTTATATTTAAGGGACATCTAAATATATATAACTCAAACTCTGACTAACTGACATAGTGATCTATCAACGCACAGCCCATACCACCGGACGGATCGGGCTGAAATTTGGCATGCAGGTAGATTTTATGACGTAGGCATCCCCTAAGAAGGATTTCGATCAAGTCTACCCCCAAGGGGATAAAATAGGCGATGGAAGTTTCTATGAAACTTTGTCAATTTTAAACCGATCGGGCTGAGAGTTTGCATGCATAAAGCTACTATGACGTAGGTATCCCCTAAGAAAGGATATTGATAAATTCTACCCCTAAGGGCATAAAAAAGGGGACGAAACTTTATTTCAGGTATTTTACGCGATATAATGAATAAATATTCGTTGGAAATGCTGCTCAAAGTAACTTTACCACGCGGGCGAAGTCGCAGGCAAAAGCTAGTATAAAAATAGAATTGAAGGGATTAAAAAAAATACCTATAAATCGTATGATACAAATGTGTAAGTTTTTTGTTAGTTTGTTTAATGTGACAAACAACCTATAACAAATTGTCTGTCTGTTCATAAGGTCGGCTAAAAAAACGGGCATTGCCTCAAATAATCATGTAAACGTAACATTTCTGCGGTGTACTGCTTATCAAAGTAAGAGAACCTTAGACAGTCATTAGGTTAGCGTCATAGAATAAAACACAGTACTTTTCGGGTACGATACAATATTCTATGGAAAGCTATATTTATCGCTTACTCTCAACGCTCACAAAATATTTTGGGACATTCTCCATTCTCACTCGTTCTAGGAACAGAATTATACCATCTTTTATTGTACTAGTTAAATCGTCCTATGTTATTCTTTCACATCATATCAGCTTGGAAGAAAATCGAATATCGCAATACATATTCCTTGTATATAATTCACCTATAAAATTTATCGTGTTAGATTAATAGGTCGAGTCATTAATGCTTTTATTATATACTTGTAATGATAAACTCTGACCATTAATGCGGATATGTGAATTTTCTATCTCTTTGGTGAAATTATTCTTAATAAATAAAACCAACTTTAAAAACCTTTTACTTATAAACTTTGCGTTTTATATAAAGTAACTAGTAAGCAAAACTTATAAAAATAATATATTTTGTAATAATATATTTCATTAAACATAACACCTACATTTTTGTGAATATTGAATGTATTAAATATACTTTATTTTACACCAATAAAAAATAAAAACAAAAGGATACAATCAATGAAACCGTACAATCGGTGGCCTTATTAAAAAGTAACGTAAACTAATAACGCAACCTTTGCGTACAGGAAAAATTTATGTCTAAAATTGGGTGACTTATGGTTATCCCAAAAATTTAGTATATAATAAATTTAATAAATGAATTAAATATAATAAGTAATTATATTTAGATGCATATAAACTTTTAGATGACATATAAACTTTCGCGTTGCATTAGGTATATAAGATTGTATTCACCGACCTATATTTCCCGACGTTTCGACCAGGTTACATGAGCCGTGGTCACGGGCTGACTGTTTCTGGCAATGCATTCCAGAGACGGGCAGCTTGGACTGATTTATCAATGAATTTACTGGTTTGCATTGGCATTGACAACTTTAAGTTCTCCGATGACCTAAAACTCTAGCGTGCCTATTGTGAAGGAATTTAAAACGTTCCATGATAAGCATCAGAATAAGGATTAATCAGAATACTGTGAAGAAGAGAAACAATATATTCCGGCGAAGATGAATCGGTAGCCACTTGATCATATTTGCGTAAACTAAAATCAAATCAATTGCGTAAACAAGAAATGTTGAAGCCGAAAAAGGTCTAGATAGCTGATATCGGCATAATCGAGGACTGGGTGGAGTAGATATTGAGTCAGCTCAGTTTTAGTGGTCAGTAGAAAGAAATTCCCAAGTCTTTTCAAGGAACCTGTTGCAGCAAACAACTTTCGCCTCACTTCTTCTATTTGAAGTCCCTAGTAAGAATTCAACCAATATACTTTTTTCTTGATAACGCAGGGGAAATCACCTTAAGCCTTCATTAAACCAGGCCTCCCCGACCCCGCACCAATCTCAAAAAGACAGGCTTAAGCGAGACGGGCCTACCTGGTAAAACCCGCTGCGGAATACCCTTATGGAGAGTGGGGGGAAAGACCCGGGATCCAGCAAGGAGCCCGCCGGGTCATCAACCATTATATCTAAATTTTCAACCCTTACATAGAGTAATTAGAACACTATCGAATGTGATGGCTAGTAGCTGTGTCATATTTAATCTCATATTATTAATCGAATTCAGGGGGCCAATTCTACAAAATAAATTTTGTTTAATTCAAATCGAAATTGGATCGAAACCGAATGAAACTACAGTTTTTAATGGTTTTTCTATTCTACTAAGTGACATACGATACAATTCCAGCTAAAATAGAACTGGAACAAAATTTATTTATTAGAATTGGCCCCCAGTTATGTTGTTGTGATGTTATGAATAATAATGATTTATTAAATTGTAGACTCATAATAAACGTCATTTAACGACGGCGGTTATTCAGATAAGGGAAATAGAATAATTCCACTAACATATTTACGGGAAATTGTTGTTTTAAAGTCGAGTCAGACTAAACGGTTGCGCTGTCTTTTGAAAAAGTTAAATATGTTTTCAAAAGCCTTTATAAGTAGGTAATGATTAATCTCGAATTACTTTCTAATTTTTATAAATATGCCTAGATTATGGTGCTATCATAATATTTAACTGAACATAATAAATAAATTAATCAAGTATCGGTATCAAGAAAATATGTCTTGATTATTTTCAAGAGCTAATAAAATGTTGTGCTCTTTCACAATAAAATTGTAAGTATTTATAACAATAAAAACTATTTACAAAAGTTCACATTGCAATAATCACTGGCCTTTAACGCCATTTAAATAAATACAAGCATTGAAATTTCCAAAGGATTGGGTACCGTCCAACTTTTAAATAAGTAAACATACTTACCCATTATGTAAATAATGCTCGCTCACTTGGTTGACAATCTCTCAGCTCAAAGGATCGACCAAGACTAGTTCTTGAATCTTTCAACTCAAGCCAGTTACGTACTATATATGAGATGTTATCCAATAACTCATTAAGGAGTATGTAGCTTAATAGTGTGGATAGTTTGTAGTTTCTTACCTATTAAATACTCGCTTTTAAGAAGGAAATGGTAGTACTACTATTTTTTAAATATGTAATACATAAATGTAGAAGAGGCTAATCTATATTAGTACAGAATTACTAATCTTTCGTAATTAAGCTGTCTCGAGCTTTACTTGTTATTTATAACAAATCGACTGCTACATACAAGTATTTCATTTTTTTTATGTTTATTTTTTTTAGTATTTTATTTTTATGTTATAACGTAAAATATTTATATAAAATGTCGTATTACACACCTATAGATAGTTTACGTAGAAAGTTTAATTAATTTATAACAACTCTACCATGGTAATACTCAGTTTTTTTTATACATTTTTTTTTTTTTAGTGAGGTTTAAGCACCTTTGAATCGTTCGCGATTTTTTTTAACTAATAAGTTATTTGATCTTAAAATTATTTAAAGATTTTGTCAGCTAAAATATGTCTTGAATCGTGTATCTCAACCTACTTGGGAGTCTCTTTTATCTTACAAAAAATAAATATTATCATTATTTTATCACTTTAAAAACACCATTCGTTACTTAATTAATGTCAATGTTAATAGACATTCAAGATACTGTCATAAAAAAAATATTTCTTTCAGATTGACTTTCTGTTTAATAATCTTTGCGCGAGCATTGCCTACAACCTACAACACTACATAAACTATAATATGTAAGATCAAATAATGACCGTAGGTATGTATGTACATTTACCGGTACACAATGGAGATTCCAATAAAAAATGATCAAGTTTTATATGCTGTTTTAATTATTGTAAATAAAAAAAAACTATAACAATGCAAATTTATTTCATTCTTTTTAATAATAATATGGTCTTGTTTTTTAAAAGCTTATTATTATAGTTGGTTTGCTATTTGGTCTATAATAGAAT